TCCTGGCGATCGCCGCTGCCTTTTAAGAATGCTCTAGCCTAACGTTTGTCAACCAGACAACCAGTTCAACTAGTTGGTTAGTCCGAGCCGAACTGAGATAAGTACACAGTGGGGATAAAAATTCAAAAGTCAATGGTTAAGTCGTCAATGGTTAAATCTTAAATATTTTCTTTTTTTGTAACAGCAAACAAGTCAACAATGTAAACAGAACAAGAATCAGGATGATGCCATCAACTCAGATATTAACCGAAAGTCTTACAATCTTGATCTGATAGGTCTGGTTTAATTCTAAAGATGAAGACACAACAACAAGTATATATTTTTAATTTGTAATTTTTTTTTTTCTCATTATTCATTATCTTTGACTTACAAACTACACATAAAAACACGAAAACTTTAATTCGTGGACAAAGATGAGAGTGTGGTGTGTGCGTATTGTGCTTGGGGACTCCCTTAGTTATCCTTTGGTATTATCATCCCTAATGCTAGACATACAAATGGGACAAGGAAGGGGAATAGTGGGATGGTTTAATATTAATCAAGTCAAGTCAAGTCATTCAAAGTATTCTCTCATATCGCCTAGTTCCTAATAAAGTTAGTCAGTTAGCCCACTCACTGTCAACTAAACCGATTATTGTTAATGTTACATATTAATTGTAAATTGTTAAATTTTAATTTTACAAATTTCGACGCTCGACGCTTGACGCTCGCATTTTCTGTTAACCAGAACCAAAAGTCTTTTTGTGAAATCAAGGTTGCATTAAGCCAATTTTGAAGACATCTAGTTGTTTTTTCTAGTTTGCCAGTCAATCAATGCAAAATAATTGAATACAATCCGGCCTCAATTTTCAGTTTACAATAAAAAAATTGTCTCGCCAATTATTGTAAATGTAATTTGTAAAAAAGTTACAACAATTCTCAGGTAGAAAACTTATTTAAAACCTATTACTGAAATAATGTTACTCTCTCCCTTAATTATGCTTTGCGGACACAGGTAGTCCTTGAATAATCGCAAAGCTCTACGAAAGATGATTATTTTTCGTCCGATTTTGTTGCTCTTCGTACTTTAATTATTAATTATTTTTGTTTGAAGTATCAGTCAGTTTACAAGAGTGTCTTCTAATTTGTGGGTGGATGTGAGATGATTGGAGAGGTGACACTAACCACAATACAAGGACATTTGATTGTATAAATAGCTTATTGCTTCCTCGGATTTTCCTTTATTAATTTTAATTTGTAAGCAGGATAAATGATTTTGTGGGCAGGCAGGTTTAGGAGCACATGCTGGCAGTGTGAAGCGGTTGATTCGGTTCCCATCCCAACAACTCTTATGCTACCAACGCCTGGGGGTATGCAACGGATTTCCTGCTCTGGGCCTGCTCTGTCTCGATTCTCATCGATGAAATGCCAATGGAAAATGCGAAATGGAAAATGGGAGTGAGAGTTGGGGGCGTAAAAAACGCAGCCAAATAAACGATGCGCAAGTCTTTTTTGCTGGATACTCACTAAACTAACCGATTAATGCACTTAATTTTAAATGGAATTCCAAATGTCTAGCACCGTTAGCTGCCTGGCTGATATGCGTGAGAGTGCGTGTGATCTATACGCGCGTGTGTGTGTGTGCGTGGTGTGCGGGTGTGCCAGTGGGTGCACGTGTATATATCAAAATGAACATGTCAAATAAATCAGCCTTATATTGAATGCAATTTTGTTTAATAACTAATTTCGCTCTCCAATTCATTATTTATCCAATTATCAAAAAATGAACACCGACACACACACAAAGACGCCCAGGCCGCTCCGATTCAGTTTCGATTCCAAGTGGAATAAGATATACATATCTAAGTACTCAAAAATCGCCACAACGACTCATTCCAAGCTCAGATACTTAGCCCTTAGCTACACACCTACTCGTAAATGTAATGTATCAAGTATAATTACTTATATATCGTTTTAGTGGATGCAACATACCGCGCTGAACCGGCATTTCTGCCGGTGAGATTTATAAATTTAATCGAACCCTTGCTCCTTAGGGGAGTTTGATTCAGAGTGTCCTTATTAGCTTAGAGATTACGTTATGTATACACACACACATCAATAACGACGATAAATATCAGAAGAAATGTATCAAGTCTCCGTCTATGATTCATATTCTGCTGAGCCTTCACTTCGATCTGCTGGAGCTGTCTGACTCAAATGCGAAGGATAACTAAAGCAAGAGGTCTATCCTACCATCGGAGTATCTATAAGATGCAGTAGAAAGTTGTACTATAGTTTCCGATGCGAATTATGCCATTCTACAATTCTGAGACCCTGGTGGAAACCGTGACTGTTCGGGAAATGCATTCATCTTGTAGGAAAAATGGAGTCCGTTTTATCGGAAACCGTTCTACTCAAAAAATAGGGATAACTGAAAGAATAACCGAAAGACGTAACTGAAAAGATGTGAAATCATAATAAAAACAAAGGTTTTGGTTTTTGTTTTTTTGTTTTTAATTATAAATAACAATTGTATATTTTTTAATAAAATTGGTGTTCTTGTTGTGTGGTTTTCTTTTCAAGAAAAAAATAAAAAGAAATATTATTTCTCGCTATTGTATGAATCTTGCATTCATGTTCGATGGATTAGAGCTTTGACCTTTACTGATATATATGTATGTATTTCTGATTCCATTTTCATTTAGCATTAATTCTTCGATTCCTTCATCTCATCTGTGTCACTTATTGTTTTAATCCTCCCTCTCGGGCCAGGTCAGATCGTAGATCGAAGTGGATAGAGTATAAAACCTCCGATCGGGCGATGTAACGTGCCTCGCATTTTCTTGCTTTTTTCGTGATTATGTGGTAATCGTACACAATACAATACAATATTGTATGAAAATAGTATGAAATATTAGCGATAATTATATAATAATGGATAGTTTTCTTTCTTTCATTCTTTGTTTTTTGTTGTTTTGTTTCTAAAAATATCACTTAAGTTTAAATAATTTCCAGAACGCAACGAAATAGATCGAGTTTACACACTTAACTACGTATGCGTGGTGTGTGTTTTTTGTGTGAGTGTGTGTATTTTTTTTGTGGTGCACGAAAATTAGCAAGAAAAACAATAATAATGATGACAATAATCATAATCGTAATCATAATCGTAATAAAGAATAGATGCCGCGACGGGCGACAGACAAAAAAAAAGCAAAATGATTTTGCATTTACTCCGTTTTCAATTTCACATTTCTTCAAGCTTTATATTTTGTTTTGTATCTTTTCTCCTTTTTTTTTAGGTGTAGTTACAAACGTTGTTGTTGTTGTGGGTTGGATTAAACTTATAGTTAATAAAAACGAAATACAAGTGTAAAAAATGTTGTTCAACTTTTTCGCATTACACAAAATGGCCACCATTATGAATTTCATTCAAATCACGGCAAACAATTTCAATGAAATTTTCGCTTGCGTGTCTCCATCGTATCTCCCCTTAACGGTTTTCTTTTTTTAAATCTCCCGCCTTTCCATAACGTTTCCGTATCCTTCAACTTTCCTCATAATTTTTTTTTTGCATCAATTTTCAAAAACATTTAAAGCTCTTGCCACTTAAGCTCAAGTTTCCCGATCTTTCCTTGATTATCTCCTTATAGCTTTCTATCATCGCGATTCGGTTTCGATTTGGATTCTTTATCCCATTGCACTTCGCTTTCTTTTATTCACTTTCACTTTTCATTTTTCGTTTTTTTTTTCTTTATCTGTGTATTGGTTATATATATACATATTCTAGACTTTAGTTTGTACTTCCAATTTGGTTAAGAATTCCTTGTGTATTTTCTTTTCTTCGTCCGTAAGTTCCCGATAATGCTTCGGCTCCTGCTCAACAATCTCAATATCTGGCTTCCTCCCGATACTACATAATATATATCTTTCCTCGCAAACCTCGCTGGGTCATTTGTGACGTCATTGTATTGTATGTTTATACCGTAATTTGAACAATTCACAACAGTTGCACAACGCAAAAAGTATTTTGTTTTGCCTTTAAATCTTAGATTTTAGTCATAAGTTCATTACAAATTAATTAATAGACGAATTTTGCTCATTTTTCGTTTTTGTGGGTGTTTTTGTTTTTAAAAAATATCAACTTAACAATGTATTAAAAATTTGAACATGATTGAAAAGTGTTTTCCTTCTGGCTCCAATAGAAATAATGACGGTTTCATTTTTGCTGTTTAATTAGTTAATAAGATCTGATCTAGTATCTTGTGGATATTTAACTGCTGTCTGTATGTCTGTCGACCTGTCTGTTTGTTTGCTTGCTTGCTTGGTTTTAAAATTCACTACATTTAAGTTTAAGTTGCTCCGTATTTCTATATGTTACATTAGCGTGTTTTGGATTGGACTTGGATTTTGGATCAGGGTAATTGTTCTATAGATGATTGAGAGTTTTTTTGGACTTGGGGGGACTATGGACTTTGTGGACTAAGGGTGTGGGTGTGGGTGGTGGTGGATGGGTGGTGCTTAATCAACTAGAATATTTAACTGTGTGTCCAACTATTGCCGCACGTATGCATGAAGTCGATTAATACTTAACTCTTAGCGATTTAACACACACATACAACTTGTATTTAAACGGTTTTTCTGGATTTGAATTACACATGGATTATGCAAGTAATTTAACTATTTAGTTTTGTATTTATGCCTATATAATGTGCAGATGCAACGCCTTGAATATTTTAAGATGCATATCTTTAGGTTTTATTTATGTTTTTTGTTTTTTGTCTACCTTCCTTTCTGTTTTGAATATTCTGCTTAATAGTTTCATTTTGATTTGCTTTGTTTTGAGTTCGTTTAGCTTGGGTTTTGCTTTTTTTCTTTGTTTAGAGCGAGAAGTAGAACAGAAATTGCACTTAATACTATAAAAAAATTTACTAGAGTTCTTACAAACTAAAAAAAATCAAATGTATATTTGCTTTAAATATTGTTTGTTTTGTTGTTGTTGTTGGTTTTGTTTTGTTTTGTTTATGTTTAGGTTTTAAATTATTTTTTTCTGTTTTTTTCTTTTGCATTTTTTTGTAATGTTTTATAGCATATATGTATTGTTTAACAGCTGGCATATACATAAGGTTTTCGTTTGTAAAAAACTGCCATCCGTTGCTGCTGCTTCAATGTATTAACATAAAAATTAACAAAGTCATTTTAGAAATAAATATGTATAGTATAATATGTATGATATAAAATAAAATTATTGTATATTGCAAATGTTGCCCGGGTGCGTTGTGTTGCAACTAGCAAGCTTTCAATGTTTGCTTTGCAACATTTTGCACGGCAGTTGGCAACACCAGCACAACAACAAAAGAGATACCGTTACGTGTTTAAGGTGCACATTACAATGCAGAGTAAATAAGAAGAGACCATTTTTCGTTTGCATTTCGCACAATGCATTTCGCATTGGCGATTTGTCCTGCGGCAGGCAGCAACAGCTTGTCCCAGCAGTCCAGTCTAACAGATGGATTACGGGGGCGATCTCTGGCGATGGTGGGTCAGTGGTTTGAGTGGTTCAGTGGGTTAGGAGTATCGCAGTTCGCAGGAGCTTAGCCCTGCATTAGCACGGCCTGGGCAGCCTGCTGCTGCTGATGCTGGCTGGCGGCTGCTCGGCTCCAGGCCAGCAACCCATTGGCGGCGGCCACCTGCTCCTCCTCCTCCAGCTCCTCCTGTTCCATTTCCTGCTCCTCCTCCTCATCCGCATCGGGTTCCTCCGCCTCCGGATCGTCTGTCTCCATTTCTCCTTCCTCAGCTCCCTCAGCATTGGTGGGTACGGATGAAATTGGCGCCACAATCACCGAAGTGGCCACACTGCGTATACGCACTGGCCTATTGATAATTGTGTTGCTGTTGGCGGTCACCGCGTAAGGATGGTGCTGGTTTTGGGCCACGTGGTGGCCCTGACTGGCTCCGTACCGCCGATTGGTTTTGATGGTGAGTGAGGCAGGAAGCTGTTTTCCTGCCGCCACTTCAGCTGCCAGTCGCACCACCGTGGTGGTCATTTTTGTTGCTGATGTTGTTGAATTGGGAGTTGTGGCTGGGTTTGCTGCTTTAACGGATGCTGATACTGCTGCCTTGGACTGGTGCGCCGACGCCTGGTTTGCCGCCTCCGTCGACGACTTCTGCCGCTTTCAGTCTCCGAAGCGGCTGCATGCCTTCTTCCACCGGCACTGGGTGCACCACTGGTCGCGCTTATCCATGCCATAGACCTTGCGGCATTTCTTGTTCTCCCCTCGCGTCCTCTTGCCCGGCGAGTGCGGTGTGTGCTTCACCGGCTGCACTGCCATATGCATGCTTCCACTGGAGTGGTTGCTGCTGTTGTTGCTGCTGTTGCTGGTGTGGTTGTTGCTGTGATTGTGGGCAACCAGGTTGCCGGCAGTTGTCTGTTGGTGGCGCATCTGTTGATGGTGGCTGTGATGCTGCTGCGCCGGGTTGTAGTTGGGCGTGATCGTCACACTGGAGACGAGATGCTGCTGGTGTTGTTGGTGATGGTGCTGTTGCTGCTGTTGGTGATGGTGCGCCGTAACGGTCACATTCTGCTGCGATAACTGCTGCAGCATATTGTTGGCACTGCTATTGCGGTGAATCACCGGACTGCTCGAGCTGCTACAGCTGCCACTGGGTGTGCTGCTGCTTCCCGCATAGTTGTGGTGGAGCGTGTGGTGATTGTTGTGGTGTTGCTGCTGCTGGACGCACGTTGGCGATGGATATGGCGCTACCGAGAGGGACGGACGGGTGGACGACGAGCGCGCATGCTTGGTGAGCGGCGAGGTGGAGCTGGCTCCCGGGTTGTTTCCCGTTCCGGTGGTATTGCTACCAATCCCGCCAGACGTGGCCGCCGCCGCTGGCCAGGTGTAGTCGTGGTGCACCAGGTGCGTGCTGGGAGTGCAGCTGGTGTTGTTGTTTTGCAGCTGCTGTTGGTGGGTGATCGGTATGCTACTATTGCTGCCGCTGATGCTGCTTCCAGCTCCACCACCAATGTGGTGATCCGCCCTCTGGTAGGTCACGCGGTTGTAGTGGCTTCGTCCTTGCCTGGAAAATTGAAACCGAAACATTAGTAAATATATCGTCCGTAATACATCGCTAACCGGAACTCACTTGAAGTTTCCCACAATCTGTTTCTGGTATTCCGGATCCTCGTGAGGCGGACGTGCCATGTCCCTGTGGCTAAGCGTCGGTTCGGAGGCCAAGTTGGTGGTCTTATCCAGCTCCTCATCCTCTTCTTCCTCCTCGTCATAGTAGAAGTCCTCTTCGTGTTCGCTGCAGCTGTCATATTCCCCGGAGCGGGCCTTTTTTCTGTAAAGCGAAGGGAAATTTAATTAAAAAATTCCAGGAATAGAGAGACTTCAAGGATTCACATTCTAAAAGCTTAAAAAATAAATAGCGGTATTTATCGGCACAATTCAAATAAAAGTTGTTTGCCATCCCTGGTAATCACTGATGATTCGCGTTGCCAACTGCCAATAATTTTATCGGTTTTTCTAAAGATGGAAGTTTATCAAAAAACCGATAGCAACTATCGAAACTTTTCGCGAAAACGAGGCATTGCCATTGGCAAATCTTAACTCCCATAGATGGCGATAGGCGCAAAAAAATCAATACGAAATCAACAAAAAGTGATCGATTTGTAGCAATTGCTAATAGCAGCGCGCCAATTACTATAGCAGCTGCCGTCACGAGATAAAAGAAACAGCGCACATTTGTTGTGGAAAATTTTGCAGCCATCGCCGTCGCCGCCGCTGTCGCTGAAAAAAATTTGCGCGTCTGTCTGTCTGCCTGCGTCTGTGTGCGTTTTTATTGTAAGGTTGAGAGCGTGCATGTGTGTGTGTGAATATTGCACGGTCTACATTGTCAATTAACAAAAAAAGATTTAGCGCTGTGATCTGTTCCTGCCGAGAAAGAATCTTGCACACTTGAGCATCATGTCTAGTCTGCGACTCGAGGAGAACCGAAAACTAGCCACCGCCGCCGCCGTCTGCCCGCTCAGCAATTGCCAGTTCAGCGGCGTGGTAATCAGCGCCATCGCCGACGAGCAGAAGCTGGAGTTTGCCAACAAATACAAGGGCAGCTGTACACTGCTCTGCAGCTACGACTCCCAAGGTGTAGTCCTCCGGATAGTAGACGGTAGGCCCTCCAGATGATATAATCACCGAAAAACTTGCTAACTCAAACTCTTAATCTTTTCAGACGATGACCGCAACCACGTGCTCAAGGAGTACATGGTATCTGCCGACACGGATGCCGCCCAGATGGGCAGACGAAGCTATGCCGTCTCATTAGAGTCCGACAACCTGGTCCTGAGGTTTTCTAGCGAACAGGACCAGCAGCTGTTCCGGAAGGTAGTGGAGAATGTAAAGCACCTAAGGCCCAAGTCTGTGTTCTCACAACGCACCGAGGAGTCCTCCGCCTCGCAGTACTTCCAATTCTATGGCTACCTCAGTCAGCAGCAGAACATGATGCAGGACTATGTCAGGACGAGCACCTATCAGAGGGCTATTTTGGGCAATTCAATCGACTTTCAAGTAAACTAAAGAGATTTTTTTCCTTTGGAGCTATTTGTGTAACTAATAATGGTCCACTTTCAGGATAAGATTGTTTTGGATGTGGGAGCTGGTTCTGGCATTTTGTCCTTCTTCGCCGTGCAGGCTGGTGCTGCCAAGGTCTACGCCATTGAGGCTTCCAACATGGCTCAGTATGCCCAACAACTGGTGGAGTCCAACAATGTGCAGCATAAGATCTCTGTGATACCGGGCAAGATCGAGGAGATCGAGCTGCCCGAGAAGGTGGACGTTATCATATCGGAGCCTATGGGCTACATGCTCTACAACGAGCGCATGCTGGAAACGTATCTGCATGCCCGGAAATGGCTGAAGCCGCAAGGCAAGATGTTCCCCACGCACGGCGACCTGCACATCGCCCCCTTTTCGGACGAGTCGCTCTACTCGGAACAGTACAACAAGGCCAACTTTTGGTATCAGTCTGCTTTTCACGGTGTGGATCTGACCACGCTGCACAAGGAGGGAATGAAGGAGTACTTCCGCCAGCCCATTGTAGACACCTTCGACATCCGCATCTGTATGGCGAAGTCGGTGCGTCACGTGTGCGACTTTCTCAATGACAAGGAGGACGACCTGCATGTGATTGGTAAGTGCTTTCGGGGTTACAGTATAATATATATGCTAATCTGAATTATGTCTTTAGACATTCCGCTCGAGTTTCATATACTGCAGACAGGTATCTGCCATGGACTGGCTTTCTGGTTCGACGTCGAGTTTAGCGGCACCAGCCAAAACGTATGGCTATCAACGTCGCCCACAGCACCACTGACACATTGGTACCAGGTGCGCTGCCTGCTCCCCATGCCCATCTTTATTAAGCAGGGCCAAACACTTACGGGTCGCGTGCTCTTGGAGGCCAATCGGAGGCAGTCCTACGATGTGACCATCGACCTGCACATCGAGGGTACGCTAATCTCGTCGAGCAACACCTTGGACCTCAAGAATCCGTATTTTCGGTACACGGGGGCGCCGGTGCAGGCACCGCCGGGGACTAGTACGCAGAGCCCGTCGGAGCAGTACTGGACGCAGGTGGACTCGCAGGGCTCACGCAACTGTAAGTACCATTTTGAGATATTCGAGAGGAAAGCTAAGCTATAACTTTCTTTATAGCTTCTAGCATGCTTAATGGCACCATCAGCGTGAACGGGATGGGCGACGGCAGCATGGACATCACCCATGGACTTATGCATCCGCACTAAGGCAGCGATTTATAATACATCTTTTCTGGGAATTCTCTTTGCTCTAAGTCCGCTAAACTTTTAATGATTGGTTCTATTTTATTGTTCAGCTTTTGTGTTACGACGTTTATATGTTTAGGTTATTTATTGTACACTGTTAATTTATTATTGTGCCTACCTACCTTCCAAATTGATTTTACCCCTTTTCATTCCCCCCCCTTCCTTTTTTAAAACTCGAAACTCTATTGGCCGCTTAACACGATCGGATGAGAAGAGAAACCCAGCTAGCCAGCCACCCAACCAACCAACCAACCAACAAAAAACAATCAACAAATCAAGGCAGACTAATGTAGTTGTTTAGAACACACAGCATATTAATAAGCCTAAGCTAATTTTAGCCCATAGTAATTAGTGTTTTTAACGTATGTAAAATGTAATAACGATATTTAGCCCGTGCGGGTCAGCGCTTCAGGAAATTTTCTTAGTTAATATGCCAATTGTCACTTGCAGTTTTGTGCCGAAAGCTTTGATCAAAAACCCGAATCAGATCGTGTATTGTATCTATTGTGCGTGTTATATTATATTGTGTGTCCCTTCCTGTTAGTTTCAATTATTTTTGTACTTGTGCCGCATTTTATCGTGTGTTTTTAACCTTAGTTCGTTTTCAAATTGTAAGAAATTGCTCATAGGATTATAGTGCTAAGTTACGAGAGATTATACATACATGCCTACCTATCACACAAACCCCTCAGTTTGAGTTTCAGTTCACAGATCCTACTATACCGCCGTCTGCCTGCCCAGCGCATATAGTTGACACTATAAATATATATATACCTAGATATAAACTTAGTGTACGCCAACCAGCATAAATACCAATACAGACTCCGACACTAACGTATCTTCATTATTGTGTTCGCCAGAGGCGCATCCTGTGTGCGTGCTGTACTTTCTAGACCTGTTCATTTGCCAGCAACAACACTAACAACACCATCGACACACATGCATTACTACCTAGACACCCACACACTGCATACATAAATATAAATATATACAATTATATATACGTATACAGATATATCGCATATATGCAGAGATGAAAAAAAAAACAATGTCAAAGCAAAAGCAAAAAAACAAAAAGCGTCTTTTATTTGCGGACTTTACATTGGGTGGTGGCCCCTTCCCCCACTTGGAGACCCTTTTCGGCTATTACATAGGAAACGCAGTGCCTTGTGCAGTTCGCGGATCGGGCGTGGGTGTACGGACCTTGGCCTCAAAACCAGCCCCCATCGCCCAACCGAACCCTCAAGGTGCGCAAAGTAATCTGCGTGCTGGACGGGACGGTATGGTGGGTGGCAGAATAGTACGTGTGACCTGCTTACTGTGTTCGAGTGCTCTACTTTCGAGCTTCGGCTTCGGCTTTGGCACAGTGGAATCGAGCGGACAGAGTGCACTTTGGCAGAAGGTCGCAGCCCACGGTACGGTGGCTAAGTCAAGGCTCCACCCACTTGCTGCTGCACCCCTACAAGGGCTGTGAAAAGTCCTCGAAATTTCATCCTTTGATATCAGACCCGAGCGTAGGAGTTGTACCTATCCCTTCGCCTGCCCGCATAGTAATATCTACCCTATCCCGAATCACTTGCTTATATAACCTGGACGCTCTGATATAATTTTTCCACTTACCTCAAGTGTATTTTCCTGACGTGGCGCTGGATTTTCTTGTGATCGAGCTCGGTGTAGTCGCAGCCCCCATAGAGACAGCGGAACTTTTTGGACTGAAACGAGAAAAGAATGGAAAATAAGATTAGTGCGGGTCATTAAAAATGAATCAAGAAAAGTGGGTATCATTAGCAGCGATTAGGGCATACTTGGCGGGAAGAAGGATGCAGCAGGGAGTCTGCGGAGGCGCTCACGGAGACGGACGACGTGGAGGAGGAGTGCGAGGAGCACTCTCCCGAGGGACTGTCGCCGCCATAGCTCTCGTAGTCGCTGCGCTCCACATAGTAATTGAGTGCCAATGTGTTCATCCTGGCGATGGCTATATCACTATCAGCCGTTGCGGTAGCAGGAGCTAGTACAACCGGTGCCGGCCCGGTGCCAAATGCGACTGTGTTGGTGCGGACAATGCAACTGGCTGGCTGCCTGGCTGGTCGGTTGCCTGGCTTGGCTGACTGCCTGAATGCCGAGCGCCGCAAACGATGCCGCCCGAGTGACGCTGCACTGATAACAGGCCCCGGGACCGGGTCCGCGTCCGGGCCCGGTCCACGGAGTGCCCTTGCCGAGCATCCACCAACTGCCCCCACCACCCTCAAGCCCCAGCCCCTGCCCTTATTTACTGGGTCACCTTGTGGTCGCTTTGCTCCGTTTGTCGTTCGCCTTGACACGCTTTTTCCGCTCAGCTTTTCGCTTTCTGATGCGCCGGAATTTATGCTGCGCTTTATGCTATGAAGGTTACAGCAGCGCTGCAGCAGTAGGAGCAGGAGCAGGAGCAGCTTTGATGGCAGTTGACCCAGTTTTTATACATACGCTGTCACAGTTTTTGGTGGAAAACTGCAAACAACTGATTGCGTCCTTGTTTTGCATTTCGGGTGTCCTTGTGCGGCGGCTCAACAAATTGAAAATTAAGTTTTGGGTTTTTTTGGTTGCGGCCTTGGGTGCAGCAAGTGATTAACGATTTGTTTACAGCATTTCGGCTTCAGATCTACTTAAAGTTGGCACGGTCACTTGCTGGGAAAATGTACAGGGCGTACATGAGACCACACGGCGTATGAGCAATTTTCGCTATAAGTACGGAAAAGCTGGCAGCCATTTAGAGGAAAAGCGGTGGTGAAGCCTGCCAACCACAACGTAATCATAAACATAAATATCTTGCGCTACTTAGGCGGCGTAAATTGTTGACGCACGTGGTTGTGCGGAGCATTAGCTTGAAGGAGAACCAAAAAGAAAAACCAGGAAGAGTGGAAAACGAGGGAGCTGGGCGTTGTACACACTTTTCGTTTTAACTTGGTGCAATTAGTGGGCAGCTTTCCGGGCGGCAGGATACAACGCATATCCTGGCCCATAAATAAAAGCCCGCAAAGCCAAAGCCACACGCACAATTGTTGCCAGATGTGATGTGTGTGCTTTTGCCAAGTGTTTTTCCTGTTTTTCCTGCCAGCTTTTCCTGCCAATGTTTGCAGTTTGTGGGAGTTGCCCGGCCGCCTTCGTGACTGGCATCTTAATGCTCTCTGAACGGGTTTATTAATGCCTCAATTTTGTTCCCCCCGTCCGATGGTTGCCCGATAAGCCTAATATCGTTCATTTGTCAAACGCTGCGTATGCGTAATTTTCAATTCCCCAGCTGACGTCGCTGTTTGCTTTTCAATTATATTCAATTAAAGCGCCAACCGAGCTCCGAATCATGTTGGGCTTTCAGTTTTGCTCATCCTCCCCAGTCCCCCAACTCCCAGTGGCAGCAGTCTGTGCTGCCATTTATTGCCACCTGCCAAGTCACTCGAATCTAAAAGTAAATTAAAGCAGCTTGAGTTATGTATGGATGGATGTCCGCTCTGGTGTCCTCTGGTGTTCTGTTCTGTGATGTAAGTGTATTGGTGCGTGTTAATTATCTGGCTCTAATGAGGGAGCCAGGGGCGAGGGACGGCAAAATGCCTGTTTGCTAATGAAAGAAAACCATTCAACGGTAGAACTCCAGCTGGCAGAACTTTTTGGGGAACGGCCGGAAAACGGAAATAAAATTCCACCCCGGTCCAGAGGCATCACATTACGGCGGCACAATGACTACCGCACTGTGTCCTGATTTGGTGGCTCATGCTGTGCCGGCAGCCGTGGCCAGAACAAGGACCTCTTTAAGGATGCCACTTTGTATGCTCCAAAATATAAAGAAATATATTACAAGATACAGTTTTTCCCCAAAATTGTATTTCAATTTAAAAATTGTATTTCTCTATTAATTTTAGGTCCTAATAACTCCCCAAACAATCGATTTATTGTACGCCCCAGCTCCTGGGCGATTTCAATGAAAATTTACTTGACACATCTTTGGGAAAACTCTACCAAACACACATACTAGCTACGTGCGTGGGGTAAATAAAAAGTTTTCCTGTTTTCGTGCTCTCTCTCTTTCTCATCTCGGTGCTTTGCCTTCGCTTTTCCCATTTCCCACTTTCCCGGCGGCGGCAGCGGCAAGCATAAACAACCCCAAACCCCAGAGAATCGGAAGCCGAAAATACACGGAAAACGGAAATGCGAACCGAAATCGAAACCGAAATCAGAACAGCTGTGGAAGGACAGTCGCGAAATTGGGTCAACTGTATATAGACGATGCTATATGCCATATATACGACCTCCTCCTTGATAGTGCCTTTGGGGGTGGGTTTTCCTCTCTTTCGCTGTTAACAGCAGAAGAGAATCGAAATGGGGGTAAGAGAGAGCACTGAAGCGGGCTTTCGAAGAGAATGCGCATGTTGGCGGAATTGGGTCACTGGAAGGCCAACATAGAATCCCCGCAGAAAAGTGGAGCGGAAGCGTAAATTATTGACTCCCAAAAATAGCACACACTGTGTATATAATGATATACTTTCGTACTTTTCGGGAAAAGCCTGCCTCAAATACGTATGCATGGATCAGGGCATTTTTTATCAGAGGTTGCCCCATGGGTGGTGGCATCTGGTAGCAGATTCACCTTCACGCCTAATAACAGACATTAAAGGTTTTTTTTTTGGCCCACAAGAACAGAAAAAAAAGATGGCCCCTAATAGGGCTTAATGCCCGGAAAACTCGAATTGCACTCACGGCGCCGTTTACATTTCAACGCCCGCGTCGCCATCATCCCATTAAAGTCGGCCCATCTAAATCAGGCCCACGAAAGTAGGCAACGCAAAGCGCTGTCTTGCCCCGAAGGCTCAGCACTCAGGTCTCTGGGCCCAGAAATTTTCGGTGTGCGCTCCATTAAAGCCGCCTAAGTTCGTCATGGCAATTTCTATAATTTACATTGCCAGGGAAGCCAGTGTTTGGGGGGGAATTACATTATATGTTCGGGAATATTTGCAAAGAAGGCACCGCAAAAAAATCCACCCATGTTTCCCATCATAAGCGACTCGAAGCGTTGATAATTTGTTCCGTCTCAATAGATCTTAACAAGACTTTGGAATACTTTGTTGTGAATGTTTAATTTATTTAAAATAAGCTTTAAATATTCTGAAAATATTTTTCCGCGTGGTTGACTTGCAATTGATTACTTGCCACAAATCGAATTCGAGTAGAGTTTGCATGTGGGTGGCTGTTTTTAAGGTCTTATCACTGTGTTTTCAGGCAGCAACAAAATTGGGTCACGTTGGCAAGGGGTGAGGACGGGAATTGCCAGCGGGGAAAATCAGAAATAGCTTTCCACAAAACTTTTCGTTGACTTTATCATTTTCATCAGCAACACCCACACCCACACCCCTACTGACACACACACACACAGCACATGCAATAAATTGTTGCTTGGGAAATTCTATTTTTGTAACGAGTTGCAAAAGAAAATTGGGGTTGTTGTTGTTTGGGGGGTGAGGGTGAATAGTTGTTTGTATTTTGAATTCAACGGTTTTTGAGTAGATTTTCGAAAACTTGATTACACAATGGTGCGTTTGATGGCCTCGCCAATTTGCTGGGCGCTTAATTTGATTGCGTTTAAATAATAAAAATACAAAAAATGAATTCGCAGACAGTGACAGAGTGGAGTGTCATAAATATATGAAGACCTGCTACATACACACATGCATAACTGATGTGGCAAACACACGCGAAATTGTCATTGCCGCGGGGTTTGGGAAATGTTGGAAAAACGGCAAAAAGTGGGGGGGGAAAAAAGGCTGACAACGACAACGACAACGGCAACGATGGAAGCTGAAATTGAGGTTGAGTGTTCATTCATTCAACAAATATGACAATGGCGTTGATTTTGATATTTTTTGAGCGAGCAGGCAGACAGAAGCACAATAACCAACTCTTGGCACTCTTGACATGGCCAAAACCCGGCTAGATGTCGCGGCTTAAGGGTTGGGCCACCAAGCCACCCACTTACACTCACACAGCCAAGTATTGGCAGGGGCAGATGCTGACACGTTTTGTATATAAAATTTATGTGAAAAGTTCGTGAACACCGAATGGCGAACATGTTGCCAAAAAACGGAGCTCAACTTGAAGGCTTAAATTTATATGTTCAAAAAATTAGATTACACTGAATGGCTGAAATGCAATGGCTGCACTGAGAACTGAGTACTGAACAGGATGTGACCTCCTCTCGGCCACTTCCGGCAGTCATGGCTTCCTCCGCCAGCCCGAGAGTATGCCACACTTTGTCCTTGGCTTTGGAAAATTATTAAGTTACCGACTGCCCAGCCTTGGGGAAGTGCAAATCACTTTAGTCGGAGCTTTAGTGATTTATTTATTGTTTTTTTAAAGAGAAACTGCTTTGAAGACTTGCTATGTGAAGGTGTGGAGGCGACGACAATATCCTGCCACGCTCAATTTACCACAACATAGAGCAGGCCAACCCCCGGGGGCATAAAGTTTCTAATCAGTGAGAATGCCCGAGTAACAAGGCCAGCAGCCTTGGGGCAACTTAATGGCCACCGCAGGCCGACTGCCAGCTTCAACCCTTGGAAAACCCAGATCCGTCCTGCCACTACCCCTTCCCCTCTTCGGTTATCACTGTTCATTGTCACATCTCCCGCCAGGACGAAGGAAGCACACAATGGGCCACAGAATCCAATTATGACATAAAAATTTTCGT